TTGCAGGGCAGGCACCTTGCCCTCAATTTTACGTTTCTTCCATTCTTCCACCTGCTGCTGGAGTGACCTTCCCACATTGCAAATCTGATCTCATTTATCAGCCTCAACATCAAATGGTGACCCTCTTCCCCCAGGCACCAGCCAAGCCTCAAGATAAACTCTCAACTCCACACTAGGGCCATGAAGTTCCTGGCTCCTCACCATGGATGTGCCCCTGTCCTGCCCTGTCCCCTCCCCACCCCACCACAAGCTTCCTCCCTCACCCCACCATTCTGGCTCCCACCTGTCTCTCGCTGGGTGCTGGCCCTCTGACACCCTGTGTCCTCATGCTTGTCTGTTACCTGTCTGTCTCCCAGCTATACTGCAAGCTCCGTGATGGTGTCATTTGTCTCTGAATCAATAGCACTAACATGGTGCGTGGCGCACAGTATGTGTTCAGTAATATTTACTAAGTGAATCACTTCACATCCTTAACACCAAATAGTCCGTGGCGGCTGCATTTGACCGCCTCCACATGTAGGCACATGTGCCTGTACTGGGAATGCCTGCCTGTGAGCCTCTGTTGACTCCGACAAACACCTCTGCTCCATCCATTAGGGGCTGTTCTTCTAAGGATTGCTGTGGGTGTTGGGAGCCCTGTGTCCTTCCTCAGCTAATCATTTTGTGACTGCAGCAGCCTGCATTTTTCTGCTCTGTGTATAGAGAAGGGTTGGGAGTGGGGAGTGGATCTGTGAGTTCCGAGGTCTCTTGCAGAGAGGAAAGTTCCAAGCCTTTAGAAAATTTCTGTTGAAATTCATGTCTCCGCCATGGGCCAATGAGCACGAGAAGGTGCTCCCTGGGAGGCTGTGGCTAGCAGCCCGGGCTGGCACGAGATACGCTGGCCCAGGTGGGTAGGGCACTCAGGGTCGCCTGCTTGGTAGGGAGAAGAAATAGGGCCTGGGCCAAGCCTGATTGGAAACTCGAGGGACAGCGGGACAGAACGAGACAGGCTTTTGTTCCCTCCCTGTAATGCAATGCACATTCCCACTTAAAGGCAATTTCTGCACTTCAAAAGGATTCCAGCTGGCGAAATTTAAGGTGGAGAATAAGCCCCCAGTCAAGAAGCTTCTCAGGGGCCTTTCAGTTTTCCTTGGCTTGAGCATGGGATGCATTTTGAAATGTTTGCCTCTTCATGTTTGTCGGAGTGCCAGGGGAGAAACGCTTCCTCTTACTTCCACACCTCTCTCACTCAGCCATAGCTGGCACGGGAGCCAGCCACGTTTTCCTGCGCTACTTTGCCTCCTTGTGAACCTGCCTGACTTCCTCTCTCTCTCCCTGCTTCCTCACCCGCCTCCCAGCTCACACCCCACCCCTGGGGGGAGGAGAGTCCTGCTGCCCTGGGTCCACCAGACTTCGCAGCTTTTCTTCCACAGAGGCTGAAAGGGCCAACAGTTGGGCTGACACAGTTCACAGCTCACACTCCAGGAGATGCTCTGCCAGCTGCCGTTCATTCATGCATGCATGCGTTCACCTGTTCACTCTCTCACCAAAGTCACCCAGTCAGCCAGCATGGGATCTGAGATGCTGGTGAGGCCTGAAGATGACTCAAAGAAAAATCACACGTAGTCTTGCTGTCCTAGCTTACAAAGTGCTTGAAGCTATGAGAGAAAGAAACGAGCAATTACGGCACAAGACAGAGGAAAGTCAACACCCAGTCTAGAGGGTAGGGACATTTTAAAAGCGCAGAGAAAGAAGAGATCAGCCAGGGATGTAGGTGGTGCCCAGAGGGGCACTCAGGGAAGGCTTCCTAGAGGAGGAAGCATTGTGATGGAAGCAGGGTCCAAAGATGCCAAGGATGGGGAAGTGGCTGATGCCAGGGCATGAAGGTGGGAAGACCTATGGTGGGCACAGAGGCACTGCTGCACCCCTCTTTCCAGGACTTTGGCATTTTATGGGAGGTAGGGAGTCCTGGGCATGTCGACTGGCAGTCACTGCTTGGGTGGCATTGCTTCAGTCACCTTGGAAGCAACGCACCAGCCCCACACAGCAGTCACCAACTCATGCCCTTTTCCATCAGGCCCTGAGGAATATACCTTCATGCTCTTCTCTGTCCTAAGCACTCAGGCTCCCCGCAACCCTTTCTTGAGGGACCCCGGTAGCACTTACTCCTGCGGCCTCATCAGTCATGCCCTCTCCCTTAAGAGAAGCTCCAACTATCACCTTTCCTAACAAGCACTGTCCTATTTGCCCACCCCTGCCTGTGCCAGCACCCACTTGTGTCTCCCTTAGAGCCCTTGCCAGTGGCCCACAGGTCCAGCCTATGAGCTCTGGGGTTGGGCAGACCTGGCTTTGACCCTGGCTCTGGCACTTTTCAGCTCTGCACTTGGCCAGATGACTCCCTTCCATAGGACCTGCTCTTGCCATTTCTACCTGACAGCCTTTCACCCTTGTGGGATAAACTGCACCTGGACTCACGTTCAGGGCAACCATCCTTCTCTGCTGTCAGTCCTCACGGATCAAAGGGAGCTGTAGAGCGTCACTGCTAGGTTCAGGGATAGACACGAGACCAAAGCCAGACAAAGCCTGTGACTTTTAATAGCTGGAAATCCCTACTTCCATGGAGATTGACAAACTGGTCAAATACAAACCTAAGGCTGTTGGGGTCAACTTTGTCACAAGGAAAGAGTCTTTTTAAAATAAAAAGAGTGTAGCAAAAAAAAAAAAAAAAAAAAAAAAAAAAAAAAAAAACAGTCAAGAGACAGATTCCTAGTGACACTGAGCACCTGGATCCAGCCACACCTGAAGTTATCCCTGGAGTTTACAGTTTTGTAAACCTGTAAGTTCCCCCTCACACACTTTTTTGGCTTAAGCTGATTTGACTTTTTTGTCACATGCCACTAACAGTCTTGACTAAAGAAATGTTTAACTGGCAGACTTAATGACAGAATTAAATGAAATGCATGGCTTTCCCAGGAATAAGGTGGAACTCAATGACCACTTTTGTCAACTCTCACTGAACCTACCTTCTCATAGATCTGTTACATTTCCATATACTATAGTTCCATAGCAGTAGAATACTACGTTTTCCCTTTCCCCACAGCTTCGATCAAATCTTCCTTGGTAAAATCTTCACCCTCCCCGACTTTCTTGACCACAGCTCTGTGTCCCTCATAAATCTCTATGTTTCACATCCGTTTTCCCCTCACACCAGTCCTGGGCTGAGACAGGCTGGATTTAACAGTGCGAGACTTCAGGATGTGGCGGGGGTGATGTCGTCTTTGTGTTATGTGCTGATAACCCAGGGCCATCAGGATCAACTAAACCAAATCAAACTGATGACTTTCCCAACAGGCTTCAAATAAATCCCTGCCCTGAAAGATACCAGGTGCTCAGAAAAGTCTACACTGCCATCTAGTGGATGTCTGCAACATCGTCAGCCCTTTGCTGAGAATTCCCTTGGGACCACCCCAGACTCTGAAAGCAACTGACCCTCACTGTGTAAGGGACAAACCCCAAGACAAGGGAATGCATGGCGAAGCTGAGAGTCCCGTCCCACAGAGTGGCATGTACTCTTTTCTATGAGACTGGGTTCCTGCCCAGCCTCTGGGCCCTGCACTTCCCATCCCAGGAGTTAGAACCGGCAGCCTTCCTTTCTCTGCTCCTCTTGGCTGTCCACAGGTGTGACCAAGCCAAGGGTTTCCATGGAGAAGGGCTGACATTGTGTGCACGCATGCAAGTGTGTGTGTGTACACATGTGCACACATGTGCATGTGTGTGCTTTATTGCCCGTCTTCCCAAAGGAAAAGATAAATTGTGATATTTGCAAACAAGACAGCCATCAAAGCCTCCAGTGAAAACCGCTTCCAGAAAGAGAAGAGTCTGCCCCCTACACTGGAGGCCCCCACATGCTGCCGCTCTCCAGAGCCTGTGGGTCCACTCGGCTGAGCTGCCTGCATCAGGCCTGACCAAGGCAGCACTGAGGGGAAGGAAGAACCCCTTGCGGCCCCTCCCTGCCACCCTGCACAGAAGGGACCAGAAGTCAGCCTTGTTGTGTGTGCTTGCTCACATCCCGGCCATGACCCTTGTACCCATTTGTGACCTGAGTCCTGTCTAGGTTGACGCCAGCACCTCTCCTGCTAAAACGCAGCAGAAAAGAGGACAGTCTCCACCATCAACACGTTGAGGCTCCATCCGGCCCAGGAGTCAAGAAATAGAGGCAGAGACCAGAAGACCAGATCAGCTCCCCCAAAACACACTCCAGCAGCTGAAAGCAGCAGCAGACCCATCTCCCACTTCTGTGACACTTTCCCAGGCTTCCCGGACCCCTACAGCAAGGAAAGCTTCCAGAGCAGGACGGTACTAATCACTGCCCAGCAAAATAGTTATTTCCAGTTCCTAAAATGCTTTGTTCCTCTTTTATACAACCTTGGGCCAAAGAAGAACGTGTCTCACACGGCAATAACAAAGCCGTCAGGACGCACTGACCTCTGCCTGTGTCGGCGACTTGGGACACACAAGCTTCTTTTATGTTAAACAGACAGGCCTGTCTAAGCTCTGTCCTGGTACCACCCAGCTTCTCTCCAGCCCAGAAGCCATCTGAAGGCCCAGACGCGCCGCACCTCAAGAAAGGACTCCCCATACCACCCCTTCTTCCACTTCCCTGCCAGCTTCAAAGCACACACCAGCTGGTCTCCTCCAGGCTTGGGGGCCCAGGTCTCAGGACCCCGAGGGCTGCAGGGGCAGCCAAGGAGCTCCCAGAGCAGGGGAGCAGAAAGAGGCCTGGGCAGACTGGCCTCAGCCATCACCGAAGTTTCCAGTCTGTGGCGCTCCCACTGGCCCCCAGGCTCTTCCTCAAGTCCAGTCTAAGGAAGGCACAGCTTTATGACAACAGCCTTCTGCTGCCACCAGACCCAACCCAGAAGGCTCTGCACACAGCTTCAAGTCACCCAGAGGAGCAAGCCTGAAGGAACATCAAGACCCTCAGCCCTCCCCCTGCTTTTAAGACGGCCCTGCTCACTTACATCCACAGCCTGCGGGAACTTGACTCTTGGCTCCGTCCAGGAGGTGATCTTCTGTCTGTAGTCGTTGCAGTCAGGAACTATCATGCAGCCAATGCTCCCCAACTCGGGGTAGAAAACTTCAAGGCCCCTACAAAGAGAGGAAGGAGGTTACCCCGTTGTCAAGGTTTTAGGGGAGCCTCGGGTTCCCAAGGTTTCGGTCTAGCACTACTGGGAATGTAAAGTGAAATGGGACTAAATCCTAAACCTGCCCCTAACTAGTTGTGTGATCCAAGAGTTACTTGACCACCTTGTGCCTCAGTTTCCTCATCTGTAAAATGAGGACACTCATAATACCTCCCTCAGGGGTCAGTGTGAGTAAAGTGGCAGTCAATGGTCAGAACAGAACCTGGCATGTGGTAAGTCATCAGAAAGTGTAATATTAATTCTCATCAGTGTTTACTTCCCTAGAAGAATATATATCCTTAGGTAAACTTAGTGTCTTTAAAGTAGGATTGAGTTTATAAAAACAATACCTATATGTTGCTTTTCGGTAACATTCTTATTACAGAAAGAAAGGCTTAGCAAGTCAGCACACCTTCCTTCAAGGGCAGAGACCTTCTCTCTCCCCTAAACAATCAAGAGTTCCCCATGCCTAAAATCCCCACCGTTAGTGAGTAATTGACTTCTTTAGGTGAAGCAATGATCATAGGCTAGGTTCTCTATCAAAATGCAAACATACCAGGGGGTAAAACATTGCCTCTCTGAGACTATCAGTATGAATGAACCAGTTCATCTATTTGCTCCCTGAGAAGGGCCCAAACAACACCAGGGATCTGAGAACGTGGCTCCCTGGAAGGGAAGAAAATGTGACGCAGAGCAAGGTAACAGAGTCTGCAGGGCAGGGCAGGCTGGGCCATGACTGTGCCACGTGGGCCTTTGGTGCATGCTTGTATTTGAAACTCAGAAACGTAAGCAAACATTTTCAAAAATACTTGTAAAAACTGTTTTACTTGCCCTTCTGTTACATTTATCTCCAAGACCCAAGGCCTCTGCTGGGTTAATGTGGGTTAAGACACCACTGAGAGAGAAGGGGTGTAGGTAGGGAGTGGGGGCTGCAGATTCTCAGCCTGTCCTAACAGCCTCGCATGGCTGAGCCGCTCCACAGCCCGCCCCTAGCCACCCACAGCTGTCCAGCGACTTGCTGGGGGTGACACCTAAGGGGACACTGGGAGGATGCAATTTGGAGAACAGAGCTGGAGGGAGAGCTTCCTGAGGCTGGGAGCTGGGAGTAGGCCAAGCACAGCTTCCTGGTGGGGAGCCCTGCATCCCGCCTCCCGCCTTCCACCTGTCACCCTTTCAGCGGCTCCTGAAGTCCAGCCTTGGGTAAAAGGCCGCTGAGCCCCCACCACCTGGCAGCCATGGACCAGGACACTTTCTTGGGCCAGGACCCCCAGTCCCTGGACTCAGGCACTGTGGTCTCAGATGGTGGAAGCGGGATGAGTCACAGGCTTGCTGAGCGAATTTGTTTCTTCTAACTCTTTGCACATTTACAGCAATTCTTGGTGGATGGCAAGGTTTTCGCAGCTCTTGGAGAAGTTTTAGGGAACCAGTTTTATCTTGATCGAAGCATCTTTTTTTTTTTTTTTTTTGAGATGGAGTCTCACTTTGTCACCTAGGCTGGAGTGCAGTGGCACGATCTTGGCTCACTACAACCTCTGTCTCCCAGGCTCAAGCGATTCTCCTGCCTCAGCCTACCGAGTAGCTGAGATTACAAGTGTGCATAAACACGCCCGAGTAATTTTTGTTTTTTTGGTAGAGACAGGGTTTTACCATGTTGGTCAGGCTGGTCTCGAACCCCTGACCTCATGATCCGCCCACCCATCTTAAGGACCATTTCGTTTGTTTCTGCTGCAACTCCTTGCTGCTGCAGCCAGCCAGATGCGAGGCAGAGAGGGAACCCTCCAAGGGCAGAGAGCCAGCCAGCCAACAGCGCAGAATGGGAAAAGTGAGGGACAAGGAGGAGGTAAACTGAGGGTAGAGGGCCACCCCCACCCCCACAACCCCTCTCCCCTTTTACCACAGTAGAATTGCTACAAATATCAAAAGAGTTAAACAAGCAAGATCAGTAAATCTATATTTGGTGAGGGGGATGTAGGCCACAGAGAATACCCCGAAGGACAGGGCCCATGCCAGGGACCCAGGGATTGGGTCGTGTCCCTGTCCCTCTCTTCACACCCATAGGCCACTACCAGGACAGCGTTTGAAGACTGAATATTGCCCCAACTAGGACGATGGGAAAGGGGCGTGTGCAGGCCTCTGCCCTGCTCAGCAGCTTTAGCAAAGGCTTGGAGAAGGAAACAAAGGCAAATTTATTTGATCCACAGACGGCACAGAGCTGATGACCACGAATTGTGATGCTCAGATCAACTCACAAGACAACCTGGACAAAGCTGAGGTGAGCTGAATCAAAAATTAAAGTCAGTGAGAAAATATACTTTAAAATTTGCATTCAAGGCCAGGTGCAGTGGCTCATGCCTAACATCTCAGCTCTTTGGGAGGCTGAGGTGGGAGGCTCCAGCATCGCTGGAGCCCAGGAATTTGAAACCAGCCTGGGCAACATAGTGAGACCCTGTTTCTACCAAAAATTAAAAATAATAATAATAATAACCAGGCATGGTGGTGCAAGTCTGTAGTCCCGGCAACTGGGGAGGCTGAGGTGGAAGGATCACCTGAGCCCAGGAGGTAGAGGCTGCAGTGAGCCATGATCGCACCATCACACTCCAGCCTGGGTGACAGATCGAGACCCTATCTTAAAGATAAACAACTTATATTCAAGACAAAAAACCTCAAAGGTACCACCTTCCTCTGTGCCCTTGCTGCTTGTGGTTTACCTGACATGCAATTCATTCTAATTTCCATCCCAAGAGTTTGGGGATCTCCTGATCTCCTGGACAAGACTCGGAGGCACCCTAGAAAGTGGAATAAAAAGATCAGGGGCCTTGTCCCTGGCTTTGCCATGAACTAAGACTACATAAAGGACTAGGGACAAAGGGCATGACTTTTACTGGGCCACTCTAATAGATCAGGGACCTCACCTACGTATGATTTCATTTCATGCAACTATACCTTGAAGCAGCTGTTATCACCATTCCTATCTCCAGACGAGTAACGGAGAAACTGTACATATTTGCAGCTGCTATGTATTGGAGTAATCGGTTGTATTCAACAGAGAACTGGTACAGTGGGTGTGTCTGTACATTCCTTCCTGTACCACACATCCTTCCTAGTGATCTGTTTCTCTCCTCTAGGCTTCAGTTTGAGCTAGGTGGTCATGCGAGTCTCTTTGTCACAGTAAGAATTGGATCAGAAGGGCCAGGCATGGTGGCTCAAGCCTGTAATCCTAGCACTTTGGAAGGCTGAGGTAAAATGATCACTTGAGCCCAGGAGTTAGAGGCCAGCCTAGGGCAATGTAGTGAGACCCTATCTCTATAAAACATTTTGTAAAAATTAGCCAAGTGTGGTGATACGCATCTGTAGTCCCAGGTTTAGGAGGCTAGGATGACTGCTTGAGTCTGGGAGGTCAAGGCTGCAGCCAGCTGTGATCCTGTTACTGCATTCCAGCCTGGGTGACACAGGGTGACAGAGTGAGACCCTGTCTCTAAAAACATGGCTTCTCAGCTGTGCCCATAGGAAGGGCTTAGAATTTCAGCTGCCACTTAGTGAATGCTATGGTCTGAGTGTTGGTGTCTCCTCTAAATTTGGAATTTAATCCTCAATATGATGGTATCAAGAAGCAGGACCTGGAGGAGGTGATTAAGTCACCCTCATAAAAGGCACTCTCATGAAAGGGTTGAAGGGAGCTGACCTTCCCTTCCACCATGTGAAGACCCAGCAAGAAGGCGCCATCTTTGAAGAGAGCAAGCTCATAGCACACGCTGAATTAGCCAGCACCTCGATCCTGGCGCATCTCAGCCTCCAGAGTCGTGAGCCTTGGTGTGTGTACTTGGTCACATCCTGGCCATGACCCTTCCATCTCCACGCATTTGTGACCCGAGTCCTACCTAGGTTGACACCAGCACCTCCTAAAACACAGCATTTCTGTCGTTTACAAACGACCTAGTCTAAGGTATTTTGTTAGAGCAGCAGAGCAGACTAAGACAGTGAGGATGACAAAAAGCCGCATGGGATATGAAGCTCCCTTGAAGAGGGCCCCCCCCCCCCGTGAAAGTATGGGTCACCCCACTTGGAGAAAGAGCAAGTCAGGTGTGGTGACTCATGCCTGTAATCCCAGCACTTTGGGAGGCTGAGGTGGCAGCATTGCTTGAGCCCAAGAGTTTGAGACCAGCCTGAACAACGCAGCGAGACCCCAACTCTACAAAAGAAAGAAACTTAGCCAGGCGTGGTGGCATGCTCCTGTGGTCCCAGCTACTCACGAAGCTGAGGCAGGAGGATTGCTTGAGCCCAGGTGTTCAAGGCTGCAGTGAGCTATGATCAGGCCACTGCACTCCAGCCTAAGTGACAGAGCAAGACTCTGTCTCAAAAAGGAATTTATTTAAAGAGAAGAGTAGCCAAGGCCCCTGACAGGGATTGAAGGACTGAGGATGGCTGCCCAGGTTGCGGGGAGCTGGAGATGAAGGGACAGGGGCATCTGGGGGATCGTTTGCCAACGTCAGAGCCTGAGCTGAGTGGGGATCTTGAGGAGGGCTCAGTGCAGGAGGTCCTGCTGGGGTCCAATCTGTCTCCTCCAGGGTCAGATCTGTCCTTGACGCATTTTAATTTCATCATTACTCATGAGGATCTCTTTGGAACAAAAATCTTCAGTGGTAATAAAGACAAAGCTCCTCTTTTGCAATGATGGCTTGAAATCAAAAGATATCTTCCTGGTGTGCTACCTTAGGGTCGTAAGTCTGTTTCTCAAATTGGGGGCCTGCTGGCGTATTCTGGGAGTCCTGAAAATGGTCCCCCTTGACTCGAGTCTGGGAGCCCTGGACCCAGGGTGAGGGTTGTCAGCAGAAGCAGATGGGGAAAGAGCATCAGTGTGGAGTCAGACAAGCAGGCTCCATCTTGGCTCTGCCACTTTTAAGCTACGTAAGCACCGTGGGCAGGTTCCTTAATCTCTGGGGACTCTTCATCTGCAGAGTGGGGATGCTAACACAGACTTTGCACGTTCATTACTGACAGTGAAAGGAGTCAGGGAGTCCAGGCACTGGCAGAGAAATCTGGCATACAGAAATCTGGCATACACACCCGAGGCTCCCCATGTGTGCCCCCATGCATGGGTCACCAGGGCGCCAAGATGTGATCTTATTAGGGCAGAGCTTAGCGCATCCAGGGCCACAGGCTGGTCACCTCCAGTGACCCTACAGACATCCTCATTTTTCACAGTGTGGGAAACTCCAGGAACCACTGAGGTCCTCCTCAAGGGGCCATTATTGCATCCCGCGCCTGCTGTATCCTGGCCCAGCTGGCCTCCCCAGCTTATGGGGGCGTTGACCTTGCACTGCTCAGAGTGGAAAGCCTGCCAGCCCCTCAGCTTCCTCAGCAGAGCACCTAGAAAATTCGATCCCCTCTGTGAGAGGCAGCCATGTTTCTCTCCCTCCTCCCACATGAAAGTCACCCAGAACTGTTTAACAAGAATTTTTTTTTTTTTTTTTTTTTTTTTAAGCCAGAGTCTTTCTCAGTCGCCCAGGCTGGAGTGCAATGGGGTCATGGCTCACCGCAACCTCTGCCTCCTGGGTTCAAGCGATTCTCCTGCCTCAGCTTCCCAAGTAGCTGGGATTACAGGTACCTGCCACCATGCCCAGCTAATTTTTGTATTTTTAGTAGAGACGGGGTTTCACCATGTTGGCCTGGCTATTCTCAAACTCCTGACCACAAGATCTGCCCACCTCAGCCTTCCAAAGTGCTGGGATTACAGGTGAGAGCCACCACGCCTGGCTGTGTTTAACAAGATTTTTTAAAATGTACTAATGCGAGCAAAGTGTTACTTTTGTTTTGTTTTGTTTTGTTTTGAGGCAGGGTCTGGCTCTGTCGCCCAGGCTGGAGTGCAGTGGTCCAGTCATTGGCCTCCTGGGCTTAAGCAATCCTCCCACCTCAGCCTCTTGAGTAGCTGGGACTACAGGTATGCATCACCATGCTTGGCTAGTTTTTAAATTGTTTTGTAGAAATAGAGTCTATGTTGCCCAGGCTGGTTTCGAACTCCTGGGCTTAAGCAATCCAACCACCTTGGCCTCCCAAAGTGCTGGGATTACACACGTGCACCACTGCATCCAGCCAAAATGTTACTTTTTAACAAGAATTCCGCTACATAACTTTAAGAGAAGATGCATATTTATGGTTCTAAAAGTAATGTTGGTCAAAAAATTTTTAAATTAAAATAAAAAGAAAAACAAACATTTTCACAAACAGTAATGTTTGTGCAAATTCAAAGGTACAGAAGAGAGTAAGTCTAAATTCTTTTTCCTCCTCTCCCATCCCGCACATGGGCGCAGTGGGCGGCCCCCTCCCCAGTCACTAAACTGGCAGGGAGGATTGACATCAAAGTGGCCTGGGGAGGCCTCAGGAGGACCCACGAGTCCAGACAAATGAAGGCTTGCTTCTGTAACCAGGCAGAGTTGGCGAGGAGAGAGTGGATGCCAGGCCTTCCAGCTTACCCAGAGTAGAAGCAGCTAGTGCCCTTGAAAGGGAAGAAGCCAGCCTCGCCACCAGACTCCGTCCAGTGCCATGATCCCTAAAGGGCCCCCTGCCCAAACACTCCTGGGTCCCATCACTGAAAATAAACCTCTCACACAGAGACAGTCTAATCATATACCTTTTCATTAAAATGCCTCTTTGTTGGGGTTCTGGGGGGGGTGGCACATTCAGGCCATAGGGAGGGACGGTCTCTCCCTGGGTCCCAGCAGGGAGGTTGAGGCCAGCCCCCTGCCCCACCCCCGTGCCCCCGACCCTGGTTTGGAGGGCCCGAGCAGAGCCGACCACCCACACAGCTCTTCCGGCCCTGGGAAAGGTGCGTTCTGGGAGGCAGGAAGGAGCTGATTCTGAGTCCCTTTCTCGGTGCCATCCTCCATCAGGCTGGTCTCCAGACCTGACATCTGTTCTGTCTTCCCCATAAAAGTGGGCTCAGGAGATGGTGTTCCTTGGTTCTGGAAACACCCCTCCCCGAGATCTACCCGCCAGGTAGCCTCTGTGCCTCCCGCCTCCAAGCCTGCCCTGACTTACTGGCACAGGACAGTGTCCTCATCCAAGAGGGCCCTGTGGGCACACAAGTCATTCTTGTTCTCATCTCCAGTGAGCACCGCCACGACACCCAGTAACAGTGCTGCTGTGGCCAGCCTCATTGTCCAACCCGTGGGCACCTGGAACAGAAGGAGCGTTAGAGAGGCTGGATCCCCTGCTGGGGGGTGCCTGCCCACTACCTGTGCCCCCACCCCAGGGGCCCACTAGGCAGGATAGAGACCTCTGGTTAAGCACAGGGCGAAGGGCAGGCAGCTGCCAGGGCTCTGCAGCGAATCCGATCCACCACCCGGACGCGAGTACCTTGGGAGGACCCGGGCCTCCTCCAAGGTGGACTCGGTGTGCAGTCCTGGCTGAGGCCCCTCCCCTAGCGGGACACAGCTTTGTTGTCACTCTTGTACTGGCTGCCAGGGCAGAGAGCAGGCTGCAAAGTAGAAGTGCTTATATAAGCAGCTTCTTAGTGCAGCTCCTCGTCCAGCCCTTGCTCCTGGCCCGGGGATGGTCAGCTGGCCAAAGGCCAGCCTGCTCCATGGCTGTAAGGCAAGCCCTGGGAAGCTGGTGACCTCAGGCTCAGAGCTAGGGGTTGGGTTGGGCTGTGCCCCCTAGACCAGCTCTGCCCCTCCTCGCCCCCGTTCTTCCACTGTCTGTCTCCACCTCCTTCAAGCTTCCCCAAGGTAGAGGTAGTTGGACGCAGTGACCTTGTGTAGGAGGGACTGCTGCCCCAGGTTGGGGCAGGGGCACCCCAGGCCAGCTCTGAAGGGCCAGCTGAGGACAGAAGGTTGCGTCCAGCTGCACCTTGCAGCTGTGCTCAACTCAGCACTCCCAAAATAACTGTCTCTGGAGAAGGAGGTCTCGGGAGCTGCATGGGGCTCAGAAGGGGGTGGCCTTCCCCCACACAGCACCAGGAGGACGGGGAGCCAGAGACCATCGCCTGCCTTCCCTTGGGGAACAGCCCTGCCACCAGGTGCCTGTGGGATTCTGGTTAGAGCCTGAGTGGGCAGGGGGAAGAACAAAGGCGGCTTCCCACGGCCTTTCCAATAGCTCTGCTCTCTGCTCTCTGCTCTCTGCTCTCTGTTCCCTCAGAGGCGGGGGTGGGAGAAACATGCCATCAGCTCAGGACGCCTGGCTTCTGCTCTGAGCTCTCTCTGGATGCTGGGGAGGCCACTGTGTCTCCCTGGAACACATCACTTTTCCTTTTCACAAACAAGTAAAATGATTCCTGTCACCGTGGTGCCTCGCTAAGGAATATGAGATCATCGCTGTAAAGTGCATGCAGCTAGATCTTTAGAGAAACTATTTTCAGCAGAGTCTGCTTTCTGGCTCAATTCCTGCCTCCAGCATCCCAAAGTGGGGCAAAAAGCCCCCACTTTGGGGCTATGTATTAAACACATTTCTCAATCATTAGGTTCCCTGAAGTACAACCAGGACTCCACCTGCCCCCAACCAGAAAATGTATTCCCAAGATCTCCCGTACTGGACAGAGTCCGATAGCAGCCTTCTCAAAAGATCATTGTGAGAATGAGATCAATCAGGTCAAGCACTCAGGAAGGTGCCTGGCACATAGTAAATGCTCAATAATTTATGAATAGCCTAAGTATTCTCCCACAGATCCAACCATCCATTCATTCCTTTGCAATCCACTTCACCCATAGGCATGAAGAGCCTCCCACATGCCTGCCCCATGTTGGGCCCCAGGGTATGTGCTGAGCATGGCCTCAGTCTGCATACAGCTCACAGGACAGCCAGAGCCAAGGAGATGCTGTCAGAATGGTTGTCCGAGACCAAGGGACTCTCATCTTCCAAATGGCATTACTAGAGAAGCCTCAGCTTTCCTGGGTGTCAACTCTTTTAGCACAGTGATGGCGGCCTGGAGGCAGAGAGAGCCCACAGTGCAGGTTGCTGCTGTTGAGCCCACTTCCAGCCTTGGTTCTTCCTAAATCCACGTGCCAGGCACTTTTATCTCCAAATCCCCAAGCCAATTCTTGGAACTAGACGCTTATGGAGGAGGCTACGGCACAGTGACATTAGCTAAAACCTGATATTGGTCACCAGGAAGTGGCAGATCTGAGATTTGAACCAGGCGCTGGTTGAACCTGTTGAAACTGGGTTGACTCTATGCTTTTTGTTTTTTTGAGACAGGGTTTCACTCCCATCGCCCAGGCTGGAGTGCAATGGGGCGATGGAGGCTCCTGAAACCTCCACCTTCTGGGCTTCAAGGGATTCTCCTGCCACAGCATCCCAAGAAGCTGGGACTACAGGCACACCATGGCTCTGGCTAAATTTCGTATTTTTTGTAGGGACAGGGTCTTGCCGTGTTGCCCAGGCTTGTCTCAAACTCCTGGGCTCAAGTGATCCACCCACCTTGGCTTCCCAAAGTGCTAGGATTACAGGTTTGAGCTACCACACCCAGCCCAGAGTCCACACTCTTAACCACCTGGCTCCACTGCACCCTGTAGCTGCTCCATGGCCTCTCAGTCCCTGCACCTTTCCTTTGCTCTTAGGAGAAGGCTCCCAAAGTCCTCCACATGGCCCACAATGCCCTGTGAGATCCGGCTTTTCCTGTCTCTCTCTAGCTGACTTCCTGCTCCTCTCATATGTTACCTCTGGTGGGTTTCTCAAGTTCCTTTCTACCCCAGGACCATAATAGGCACTGACCCACTTCCCACCTTCATTGGGGGGTAGCTGAAATATCATTTCCTAAGAAACTTGCTCTGACCCCTAGGCTCCATCAGATTCCTGTTATAAGCAATCAGAGCACCTTATTGCTTTCTTCATTATTCTTTATAGTTGTAATAAATTATTTTGTAGTTATTTGCTTAGTGATAGTATCTCCCTCATCCCCCCAGCCTATAAGCTTCTGGGAGGCAGCACGGAGACTGTCCAGCATTCTGAGAACCCTACATGGAGTATATAGAGGCGTAATAAAACTTGTTTAAGTGCATGACACATGCCACTTCCGTTTCTGATCGTCCTCGTTTTACCTAACAGCTCATAACTCTGTATAAATATCAGTAGGAAACAATCACTCAGGTTGGCCCTTAGCCCTGGATGCCTTTTGCTTATTTATCTAACCTTCTCTGGCTTGTTTTCCTACAGAGAGATCTGGCAGAATGCAGGGGGTTTTGGGATTTTCAAACCTGATCTTTCTCTTGGGGATTTTCAGGACTTTGATTCATACTTGAAACCTAAGATCTGGAGGCCATGTTCAAGCTTTGGGAGTGACAGCTCCCCCTCCCCATCCCCGGCTGGTTTTGCACGATCCCCTCACTCCTGCCAAGTCCCATCGCCGGATTTCTTAGTGCCCACCCTTGAAGCCCTCCTCTCCTCCTTCGGTTACCTGGGCTGGGACCACCGCCAGGCACCACCAAAAATCAAGCCAAACCTGTGGCTTCCTGAGACACATCGGTCCCTCCAGCTACTGGGATCTGCTGGACCACTGCTGCTGAAATTCTCCACTCCCTTTTTATCCCTTCAGGCCTCCTGTGCCTGACACCCCCGTCAGTGCCCAGACCGTACCTCCTTTCTCTACCCAGATATAGACTCTTGTTCTTTCTCTCCCTCCTAAACCTTTCCAGGCAGGCCCTCTGGAATCTCTGAACCGTAGTAAACAAATTCCCCTGAACTCTTTCCATTCATTCCTAATTAAAAAAAAATTAACTGAGATATAATTGATACCTCATACAATTCACCCTTTTAACACGTACAGTCCAGTGGGTTTTCATGTGTTCACAAGCTTGTGCAACCATCACCACTACCAAAGTACAGAGCATTTCATCAACTCAAAAGAAGTCCCGTACTTATCAGCAGTAACACCCATTCCTCCCTCCCCCCAGCCCTTGACAACCCTAATCTATTTTCTATCTCTATGAATTTGCCTATTTTGGATGCCTCTACCAACATTTTCCCCTTCTTCCTTTCCAGCCTCCCTTCCCGTGGCCACTTTCTTGGACATTGTCATGACTACAAACTGCTCCATCCCTAAAATACTACTCCGCCATACAGCCCTGCTCCTGCTCCACCCTCAGTGTCCTGTGCCTTCTACAGAGCCCAGGGTGGGGGCCTGGGAGGCATGGGGGAAACACTGTACTAAGTGAAAGCAGCCAGTTGCAAAGGAAGACATATCGTGTGATTCCATTTATATGAAATGTCCAGAATAGGCAAACATATAGTGTCAGAAATTAGAGTAGTAGTTGCTAAGGCTGAAGGCTGAAGGTGGGGCCGGGGTAAGATGTGACTGAGAGGTAGGGGGATGAAAGCTAAAGGGTATGAGGTTTCTTTTAAAGGTGAGGAAAATGTTCTAAAATTGACTATGTGATGGTTGCCCGTATCTACACATATACTAAAACCACTGAATTAGACACTTCAAAATTCGTGAATTCTGAGATCTGTTAAACATATAGCAATAACGCTGTTTAAAAAAATCATTGTGGGGATGTCAGCAAAATGGATGACTAGGAGGCTCCAGGCTCTTGTTCCTTCATGGAAAGCTAAACACACACATACACCCTCCCCACTGCCCTCCTCCACCCCACCCCCCTCCCCCCAGAGAGAGAGAGAGAGAGAGAGAGAGAGAGAAAGAAAGAAGAGAAGACAAGACAAGACAAGACAAGACAAGACAAGACAGAGAGAGAGAGAGAACTGGCTGAACAAACTTTATAGGAACTCTGGAAAACAGTCAAAGGTTAGAGCAACCAGGTAAATGCCCAACCAAGGAAAGCCTCCTTAACTGCAGCCTGGGTGAGAGAGGGAGACCCTGTCTCCATTTTTCAAAGCCTCCTTCAAAATAATAGGAATTTTGCCAGGCACGGTGTCTCGTGCCTAAAATCCCAGCACTTTGGGAGGCCCAGGTGGGCAGATCACCTGAGGTCAGGAGTTCAAGACCAGCCTGGCCAACATGGTGAAACCCCGTCTCTTATTAAAAATACAAAAATTCAGGCCGGGCACGGTGGCTCAAGCCTGTAATCCCAGCACTTTGGGAGGCCGAGGCGGGTGGATCACGAAGTCAAGAGATCGAGACCATCCTGGTCAACATGGTGAAACCCCGTCTCTACTAAGAATACAAAAAAAAAAATAGCTGGGCGTGGTGGCGCATGCTTGTAATCCCAGCTACTCAGGAGGCTGAGGCAGGAGAATTGCCTGAACCCGGCAGGCGGAGGTTGCGGTGAGCCGAGATCGCGCCATTGCACTCCAGCCTGGGTAACAAGAGTGAAACTCCGTCTCAAAAAAAAAAAAAAAAAAAAAAAAATTCGCCAAGCATGGTGGTGAGCACCTGTAATCTCAGCTACTCGGGAGGCTAAGGCAGAAGAATTGCTTGAACCCAGGAGGCTGAGATTCCATTGAGCCTAGATTGCACCACTGCACTCCAGCC